CCCCAAAACCCCAAAACCCCAAAACCCCAAAACCCCTTTGAATTTAATTTCTATTGAAAAATTAAAAATGGTTTAAACTTTGTAATACAAAGAGCTTGATTAAGTAAGGTTGTAAGAAATATGTAAAGTATTAGAACACATTTGTTAAAACGTTATTTTTCGTACCCAAACTTTTGAATAATTTTAGCATTCATGCTTTGCAGATTCAGCTATTTTTATGCCCTCAAGGCGCAAGAGGGGCAGTTTAAGTTACGTTAAGTTGATCAGAGATTTATAATATTTACAGCAGAACTGTTTTATATGAGCCTTTTTTATTGATGCTCTTGTTTTGCTTTACGTAAAATTGACTAGTTTTGTGGTAGAAGTAGTAGGCATTTGGAGTCAAGCTGGTTTCATACTGGAAGTTATTAAAACAGTAAAACACTTGAGGGATGTTTTGCGAAGTTTAACTTGAAAATTAAGATATGATCCTTAATTTTTTGTCTAAACCCATTCAGGAGATGGCTCTGCTAAACTAATTAGATAGTCTCATTTTTGTGTAAATTAGCTTGACTTCTGAATATTTTTAGAGCAAACCGGAAGGATTAGTCACTAGAATTTTTAAATTTTGACAAGCTAAAGGTTACAGGACTAGTTTGCCAACCTTAATGAGTAGGGATTAATGAACACTTTGTAGAATTACTTTTTCTACACAAAATCTCTATTTATTAGTGTAAGTATCAATGAGTTAGATTGATAAGATAAAGAGAGTTATTGAAACTTTGTTTAAATGTCTTGGATTCTATCTCCCAGAGATTCATTACACATTGTGCTAACAGGTGTAATCCTAGTGGTCAGAATCCATGTTTTTATTGACTGTTCTTTCAGGATTCATGACTGGGCCTGAATTGAGCATATAGCTTGCTATATGAAGATTTAGTAGCAATTTATTAATTTCTGCCTCGACTATTTTTAAGTACAAATAACAGAGGTTTTGGTATGAATTACTCTTCTTGACTAGGGTTAATTATCTTGATAAAGTATTAGGTTTCAAAATTATTTTATATGAAACTTGTAAAAGTTTATAGGAAATTTTTTGAATAGTGAAGTTAATAATAGGGGTTTCTATGATTCTAGAGTGTTATAAACTGTGCCTTAAATTAAAGTGTTATTGAGATTGGAGGTTTTTATAATCTAAGATCTTTGACAAACTCTAAATACAAGAATTTGGAATCAGAGTTGGAACTTGGGCATTACTATATTTGCAATCTAATGGAAGAAAGCGTGATCTGAACAATGGTTGTATGGATTTAGATCTTAATTTTACCGATAAATCATCAATGTCTTTTAGTCAAAGGATACGCTAGATTTTTGTTTATAAAATTTAAGAAGGATTAGTCAAAATCTGTATAATCTATTAAGGCTTTTAGATTGCTAAAAATATAACCATCAAAATTCTGAATGGATAAAAGTTCCACAATTTGTTACTGAGCTTATTGATTCTGATTTGATTTGTGCTTAAAAATGGATTCCAAAACTTTATTTTTAGAAGGAAGGATTTAAAGTCTGAATTAGGATTTGCTGGTTTTAAACTAAGAGTTTTGAGAATTTTCAAATGATAAATGCTCATTGATACATAAACGATGCCGGATTTGAACTTTAAGTGAGAGCCAATCTACTAATTCTCACTTTTTAATTACTATAAAAAGCTTTTAGGGGAATGCTTGCAATTTGTCAGAATTTTAGGTGGGTTCTAGTAGTTTTGAAAGCTTAATTTGGTAGTAAGCATAATTTGGTTTGCTAGTCTAGATGGTTTTAGGTTTGACTATTTTACAAAATTTTAGAACTCTTAGTTGAATTGGGTATGATATTTAATTTAATATTTGAGAGGAGCTTGATAGATAGGGGTTTTGGGGTTTTGGGGTTTTGGGG